AGCGGACAGCGGAATCCACGGCTCCGCCGGAAACGTCCGCGAGGCCGATCCGGCTCCTTCTGGGACTGCCCCCCCGGGGACCGTTTTGTGAGGATGTTTCAGCGCGAGGGCGACCGGTTTTGGGATCGTTACAGGATCCCAGCGCGATCCAGGGATCAGCGGATCCACGGCGGATCCGTCCGCCTGCCGCCGCTCTGGGCTCCTCTGGGCATCCCCCCCGGGGCCCGTTCTGTGAGGATGTCTCAAGCGAGGGCGCCGGTTTGGGATTCGTCACCAGATCCAGCGGATCCAGCGTATCCAGCGGATCCGTCCGGAAACGGTGCCGGAGGCCGCTCTGGGCTCCTCTGGGCATCCCCCCCGGGGCCCGTTTTGCGAGGATGTCTCAGGCGAGGGCGCCGGTTTGGGATTCGTCACCGGATCCAGCGGATCCAGCGGATCCAGCGGATCCATCGGATCCGTCCGGAAACGGTGCCGGAGGCCGCTCTGGGCTCCTCTGGGCATCCCCCCCGGGGCCCGTTTTGTGAGGATGTCTCAGGATCTCCCGAGGGGCGCCGGTTTGGGATTCAGTAAACAAGGATCCACAGCCGGACCCAGCGGATCCATCGGATCCAGCGTGTATACGTCCGGCAACGGTTTTGCACGGAGCGGGCCCCGCTTATGGGCCTACTAGGGCATCCCCCCCGGGGGCACCCTGGTTGTGAGGATTGTATCAGGCGAGGGCGCCCCCCGGTTTGGGATTCGTCACCGGATCCATCGGATCCAGCGGATCCAGCGGATCCAGCGGATCCGTCCGGAAACGGTGCCGGAGGCCGCTCTGGGCTCCTCTGGGCATCCCCCCCGGGGCCCGTTTTGTGAGGATGTCTCAGGCGAGGGCGCCGGTTTGGGATTCGTCACCGGATCCAGCGGATCAGCGGATCCAGCGGATCCAGCGGATCCGTCCGGAAACGGTGCCGGAGGCCGCTCTGGGCTCCTCTGGGCATCCCCCCCAGGGCCCGTTTTGTGAGGATGTCTCAGGCGAGGGCGCCGGTTTGAGATTCGTCACCGGATCCAGCGGATCCAGCGGATCCAGCGGATCCAGCGGAATCTGTCCGGAAACGGGTGCCGGAGGGCCGCTCTTGGCTCCTTCCCCTGGGGCATCCCACCCGGGGACCGTTTTGTGAGGATGCCCCTCAGGCGAGTGGCCGCACGGTGGGGATTCGTCACCGGATCCAGCGGATCCAGCGGATCCAGCGGATCCAGCGGATCCGTCCGGAAACGGTGCCGGAGGCCGCTCTGGGCTCGTGCTCTTCGCGCCAGGGGTGAGGATGACGTGAGTTCCACAGAAACTCCCTCAAATCATCTAAGTCATCATCCTATTCATCGTTGCTCCCCCTTCTCGCCCCACCTCCTGGCGGTACGGGGCGGTCAAATCGGGAGAACGCCTCGCACAGCTAGGTGATCAGTGCAGCTTCTCGCTCATCCTCTCAAGTGCGAGAACCGGAGGAGGCTCGGGAAAGGACTCCACCCGAAGCAGGTCGGGGTTTCTCTCGAGCCCTCTTCTTTTTGATAACCCGATCCTCCGTCTCTTCCTCTTCCTCCTCCTCCCACGTTGCTCCTCCTCTTCCTCCTCCTCCTCCTGCTCTTCCTCCTCCTTCTCCTGCATCCTCATCCGTCCTCCTCCTCATCACCCGCATCTTAACACCTCTTCTCATCCTCCGCCCCCTCCCCTCTCGAGCCAGGGCTGAGCAAATCCGCCAGCAAACCAGGCGCGTGAAAGACGAAGAAGAACGGGAACCGGCACCGATCGGGGAGGGCACGGCCCGGAAAAGCGATGGGTGGCCGCTTTTCGTTCCCAGTCCCCCGACAGCGTGTGTGTGTGTGTGTATGTGTGTATGTTGTGTGGTGTGTTGTGCTTGTGTTAATGTTTGTGTTTATGCTTGTGCTTGTGGTTGTGTTTGTGTTTATGATTGTGGTTGTGTTTGTGCTTGTGTGTGTGCGTGTTTGTGCTTGTGCTTGTGTTTGTACTTGTGTTTGTGTTTGTGTTTGTGCTTGTTTGTGTGCTGCGTGGTGTGTGTGTGTGTGTGTTGTGTGTTGTGTGTTGTTTCGCAACACGAATGTGAGAGAGGAGGAGAAAGAGAAGAGAAGCTCCCTCTGCTCCCCTTGCTCCTCCTCTCCCGTTCTCTTCTATCGAACGCAACAGGCAACGCCGTGACAGGCATACATAATCATAAAGGTTGTGTTAGACATCCACGGTGGCGCTCTTCGTCTGGCTAAGCAAGGCGAGAAACGTAAGTCACCGCATCGTCTAACGCAGCGGCCTCTGCGGTGAACAAAAACACGGGCGAGTCAAGGAAGGTGCCGCACGCTGCTATAGGAAAACTAGGGTCTTCCCCTCATTCCCTCCCTCCTTCCCTCCTCGATTCATCATCCTTCCTCCCTCCCTCCCTCCCTTCCTCCCTCCCTCCCCTCCTCCCTCCCTTCCTCCTCCCTGGCGCTGGACCTTCCTCCCCGGCGCGCGGAGCGCGCAAGGGGCGGCGCCAGAGGCGCCGCCAGGGGGTCCCAATGCAGATCCAAGAAATCCGAGCAGACTTTCGAGAAATTATGTTTACTCTGGCAGGGACCGACCGTCAGGGCATTCCTAAAGGCCTACCACAAAATTTTCTTAGAACCGCAAAACGTTCTAGGAAAAACAAGGTTCTGAGACCATGAAGTCGGACGGCCCCAGCCAGAAACATGTTCTAAGAACATGTCGTGCAATCCACAAAGAAAAGTTCTCGGAACACTCTTTGGTGGGCCTACAGGAAAGCCAGGACGCCTCGTCACTGCTTGATGTTTGTTATTCGAAGCCCTTTTCCGCCATCTGCCGACCCTGGTTTGGGAGCAACTTCGTGGCCAAAGCCTGAGCTTTTTTTGCGACATGGCCCCAGCGGACCAAGGCTTTTCTCCGCGCTGTCACTAGGGTCAGCCCGGCACGGAGAAAGGTCCCTGGGGAAACTTAAACCTGTTCGGTTTCCCCAAAAAGCCTTCGGCTACCCCTGAGCACTCCAAAGAAGTTGGGTCCCAAATGGACCCAAGAAGGCCAATAGATGAGATCTGTTGGAGACGCGGGGACCCAGGCGAGAGCTGAGAAACCGTGAAAAAAAGCTTCAGGCGAACCTCGATGATCCCCGAGGTGGAGAAAGTACCAATACCGCTACTCCCCGGACCTCGCCCGAGCTGCGTTCTGACCAGAACTTCGAGGCGAATCCAGCGGTGGCCACAAGGACCTCCCAGGAGGCCCAAAAAAGGGAAAGCGGGGGGAGGGTAGCGGTATAGGTACATTTTCCCCGCATCATAGTCTCGATCCTCTTGCCTGGAGCTGGGCCCCCAGAGTTTGAAAAAGGCCACCCACGGTGGCTTTTCCACTGCACTATGCGGGGCCCAGACATCTGGGAAGCCCCGCCGTGAAAAGCTACGACGCCGGACGTCGGATGTCCAGGAGCGAACTTCCTGGCTAGCACGCCAGCAGCGAGACCGGCATGAGCCTGCGAGACGGCACGTTCGAAATACTCCAGATTTCGTAATAAAGGGAGGGGGGTCTCATTTCGGGGGGGGGGGTCTCTTCCAGGCTATCTTGGAGGGCCTGGGGGGTCTGGGAACGATGTTTTGGAGGGTTCTCCCACGGGGGGAGGTCTGAAATGGCTTGTCTTGGAGGGTCCAGACCCCCTCCCCCTTTATTACGAAACCTGGAGTAACCTCACTGCCGACTCCGCTTGCAACTCCACCTGCTGCCCCGAGCGAGCCGACACGCTCGGAGCGAGCTTCCCAGCAGCTCCATGCTCCATGGCTCTGGCCACGCGAAAATCCTAAGCTCACCAGGCGGCACTCCGACTTCAACCCCGCCTGCTGCCAGGGGCTGGCAGGCACGCTGGGGGCGAGCTTCTCCACAACGCTGTCAACGCGGAGTTCCCCGGAAGAGAGACAGCACGCCCGGAGTGAGCTCCCAGTCGACGACGCTGTCGACGGGCGATGCCCGCCAGCCGAGAACCGGCACGGTGGTGGGGCGGGCTTCCTGGCTATGACGCTGGCCGCGCGATGTGCACCAGCCAGCGAGCCGGCACGATCGCAAGGCTCACCAGCAAACAACACGATGCCTCCATTTCCCCCGATATGAGATGCTTCTCCCCGTCTGCAACTCGCTGGTGTCACGGAATGCCTCGCGGAGTGCCCCCCCGGAGCAACACGAAGAACGGCATGTGATACACGGCAGGTCAGAATGTGCCCAAAAGGCGAGACTACCCGTCGGTCGGAAAAAGTGGGTAGAAACATGAAGCATGAGGGCGTTGGAAGTAGATGGGGCTTCCGCCCGCCCGCTGCGGAGGGAAGAGGAAGAGCGATCGATCCTTACAGCTGGACGGCGCCCAAAACGGGTTGGGACCTGGGAGTGCAGGCATACCCACCGTCAACGCCTGACTGGAGGTGTGGGTTCCCAAAGAAACTGGACCGCAGGTATGAAGGGGCCCCAGGACACACAAATAAAGACACAAAAATAACCGGATTCCCCACATTTTCCCATATTTTCTGGGTTTCCGTCTTCCCCCCCACGTCCCATATTTTCCCACATGTCTTGGGGAATCGACGATGCATTGTGTCTGTGTGTTTCTTTCCCTCTTGAAAGAAACTGGACCGCAGGTAGCAGGTGCAGAGCCCAGCTCGCGCTCCGGGACCCCGCCGCCCCCTCCGTGCCGATGCCTCACCCGGGGTCCCGGGCAGAGGGCGGCGTTCGCAGAAAGGGGCCGCAGAAACAGAGGCGCAGCAGCCCATCCTGTGGCGCACGGCGCGGCGCAGCCACGTGCCGATACTGCGCGACGAGCGTGCTCCCGCACGAGGAGGAGGAGGAGGAGGAGGAGGAGGAGGAGGAGGAGGAGGAGGAGGATGGCACGAAGTACTGCGCACACGACCGAGACCCCCTTGGAACCAAGATCCCCGCTCGCCCGAGGCCGACGCTCCTCGGCTCCCCCTCGAAAGCCCACCGGAGGCGCCTGAATGTGCGCAGGGTGCATCTCCATCGGCAGCCGCGGCTGGTACACGCGCGGCGGCCCCGGCTGGCCTGGGGCGGGGGCGCGGTCACGTACACGTCGGCCCCGATTGAGCAGCACACGCGAGAGGACACGAGACCCTTCCGAGGGCCACATCGCCAACGGAGTGTAAGACGGCACGTGTCGCGAGGCACAGGGCACAAAGGTACCCTTGAGCTGGCAGGGTCGACCGAGCGGGGGCCACGAAGGGCAGTCGTATATGGAGCCACAAAAGGCGACAGCGGGGCCACTGAGCGCAGAAAGTGGGCCACGAAGGGCAGCGAGGGGGCCACGAAGGGCGACAGCGGGGCGACGAAGGGCATGCGTATGGGGCCACGACGGGCGACTGCGAGCGGGGGCCACGAAGGGCATATAATGCGGGGCCACAATGGGCAGCGACGGGGCCGCTGAGGGCAGAAACGGGGCCACGAAGGGCAGAGAAGGGGCCACGAAGGGCCACGAAGGGCGACAGCGGGGCCACGAAGGGCATACATATGGGGCCACGACGGGCGCAAACGAGCGGGGGCCACGAATGGCAGTCGTATATGGGGCCACAAAGGGCGACAGCGGGGCCACCGAGGGCAGCGAGAGGGCCACGAAGGGCGACAGCCGGGCTACGAAGGGCATGCGTATTGGGCCACGACGGGCGACTGCGAGCGGGGGCCACGAAGGGCATATAATGCGGGGCCACAGTGGGCAGCGACGGGGCCACTGAGGGCAGCAACGGGGCCACGAAGGGCAGCGAGCGAAGGCGACCGCGGAATCAGTACGGGCAGCGAGGGGCATCGAAGGCGGGCTTAAGGCAGCGAGCGGCGACTGCAGTCCCTCACGGGCTGGTCGGGCGGGCAGGCCCAGACGGGCGGGTCGAGCGGGCGGGTCGTTGAAGTGTAAATTCTGCTTGAACCGCCAGGCAATATGTAGCAGGAGCGCGATTCCTGAGTGTCGAGGAGCGGCATCTAAATAAATGGTGAGGAAGTATCAGGCGGGAGCCGCGATTCGGCGGTAAGTTGCGAGAGAGTCCCAATCGAAAGCGCAATTCCGATTCTTCAATAAGTTGTGAGGACGTATCAAGCGGGAGCTGCGATCCGGTGGTAAATTGCAAGGAAATCCCAAGCGAGAGCGCGATTATTCAATAGATTGTGAGGAAGTATCCGGCGGGAGCCGTTGTTGTTGTAAACCGGGGGCCGACAACGCAGTTTGACCCTCAAGACTTTCTCTGAAAAAAACAGGGTGCGAGCCCTGGGAAGGGCACTTCAATCGAAAAAACAACAATGTGCACTGGACGGAGGGGAATAACAATAATTATTCAGAAATGAGAGTTCAACAACAACAGCAGCAGCAGCAACAACAGCAACAGCAACAGCAACAGCAACAGTAACAGCAACAACAGCAACAACAACAACCAAAACGGCAACAACAGCGACAACGACAGCAACAACAGCAACAACAACAACAACAATTACTAGCACGTGGGGACACACCGTTCTCACCAGTGCCAGGGTTTTCATAGGAGGCGGGCAATACCCCCACTTTGTGGGGGGGCCGGTTCAAGCTCTACCAAATTTCCAAACGACTCTTCGCCACCACCCACACCCAGCTTCCCGCCCTATGACTTTCGGACACTTCACTTCGTGGCATGCGGACGACCGTGGCTACTATTCAGGGCCCCGCGGCCGACGACGACGGCGTGCGCGCGCGAAGAAAAAAACGAATGTGTCCCGCATGGTATTATTTGACAGGGATGATGGCCCTGGCAGGTGCGCAACCGTTGTCGCAGAAGTTCGAAAAAGTTGCTCGCAAAAGCCCGTTTGACAGAAATGTTTAAAAAGTGTTGGGTTTCCTACGAATCCGCAAGAGCGCGCGGGATGAAATGTTGACATTTTTTTGGAAAAACCATTGGTATTTTGATGTTTTTATGTAAAATTCGCTACGAAAACTAAGGTTTTGGAAGGATTTCGTCTTGCGCGCGCGAATGTTCACTTTACCTTATTTTTTGCAAGGGATTCTTGAAGTTTGGATATGTTAGAACAAGAAATGTCCACTTTAGCATATTTTTTGCAAGGGGAAACCGATCGTAACAACACAACCGGATCTGGTACACATCGTTTTGCCTGAGGCTTCCTCACGAAAATGATGAAAACGTGGCTGCGGCCTAGGCGCGGCGGGGGGATCGTGCACCAGGGGTCCCAACAATAATTATTCTTAAGAAGAAATAATGTTCAACAACAACAACAACAACAACAACAACAACAACAACAACAACAACAATTACTAGCACGTGGGGACACTCCGTTCTCACCAGTGCCAGGGTTTTCATACGACGCCCGCCCATACCCCCACTTTGTGGGGGGGCCGGTTCAAGCTCTACCACATTTCCAAACGACTCTTCGCCACCACCCACACCCAGCTTCCCGCCCTATGACGTTCGGACACTTCACTTCGTGGCATGCGGACGACCGTGGCTACTATTCAGGGCCCCTCGGCCGACGACGACGGCGTGCGCGCGCGAAGAAAAAACGAATGTGCCCCGCATGGTATTATTTGACAGGGATGATGGCCCTGGCAGGTGCGCAACCGTTGTTGCAGAAGTTCGAAAAAGTTGCTCGAAAAAGCCCGTTTGACAGAAATGTTTAAAAAGTGTTGGTTTTCCTACGAATCCGCAAGAGCGCGCGGGATGAGATTTTGACATTTTTTTGTTGAAAAACCATTGGTTTTTTGATGTTTTTATGTTAAAATCGCTCCGAACACTAAGCTTTTTGAAGGATTTCGTCTTGCGCGCGCGAATGTCCACTTTACCTTATTTTTTGCAAGGGATTCTTGAAATTTGATTATAGTAGAACAAGAAATGTCATTTTATAGTGTTTTTTGCAAGGGAAAACGGATTACAACAAAACAGCCGGATCTGGATCACATCGTTTTACCTGAGGCTTCCTCACGAAAATGATGAAAATGTAGCTGCGGCCTAGGCGGCGCAGGGGGGCCGTGCACCAGGGGTCCCAACAATAATTATTCTTTAGAATTAATAATGTTCAACAACAGCAACAGCAACAGCAACAGCAACAGCAACAGCAGCAACAACAACAACAACTAAACGTCAGATACCTGGGGCGGAAAGCATGCGACTGCGAGGGACGATAGTGAGAGAGGGACAGAGCAGAGCGATGTACGACTTCCTGTCGCAAGTCGGCTTGCGCGCGGTTCTGGTATGTCTCGACTGTGGGGCATCGGGGCGCGATCCGCACGTGCGACTGGCAGCAATAGCAGCGGCTGGCGGCGGCCGTGCAGCCGCATCATGCAGCAGGCAGCGAAGCAGCAGCGGCGGCGGCATGGCGGCGAAGGGAGGAAGGAGGAGGAGCGACTACCTACCAAACCACGCCAACCCCAACCCGAAGACCCGAATTTCGGGGTTGGGGGGGGGACGGGCTAGATATATCTTTGCCCCATGTTCCCCCCCACACCACCACCCCACTGGAAATGGAGGGCCAATCGGGGCCTTCAGGTCGGGCTGGGGTGGTCTGGTGGGCAGTGCGGGAGGGAGGCGCGCGGCACAGCGAAGAGAAAGCAAACCCAGCAGCACACCGAAGGGAAGCAGGAGCGCAGCCCATGCCCCAAGGGGGGGAAGAGGGCGACGCGGTCTGCCGAAGCAGGGGGTGCGCGACGCCTCCGCCAGCAGAAGACAGCCCTCCTCTAGAGAACTGCCGGAGCGCGCCGGGGACGGCGCCGGAGGAGCCGCCAACGGGGGGGGCTCAGCGCCGATCCAAGAGATCCGCGCGGACCTCCGGGAGGCCTCGCTCGTGCCGCTGCCTGCGCTGCGAGGGCGGCCCCCGCGCCAACGCCCGAGGGAATGCAGCGAGGCGCTGCCCTGCGGGCGGGCAGCGTGCCGCTCCGCTCCGCAAAGGGTGGGAGGCCGGGAGAGGCTCCGGGGCGTGGCCGCCCTCCCTGGGGGCTGGGGCGTGGGCAGCTCGTCGCGCCGCAGCGTGGTGTGCCAGGACCGGCGGAGCGACACGCTGAGCCGAGTCCTCACCGTGCACTGCAACCCTCGTCGAAATGGAGCGCAAGTCTTCGCCGCGACCTCTGGCGGCGCCCCCCGACCCCCAATTTCAATTGTTCACGCCGACGCTGGCGGCTTCGAGATTTTCTTCGGACCCCGCCGGCCGCGATGCGCCTGTCGAAGAACATCGAAATTTGGGGGCGACGGGGGTGGGAAAAACTTGCGTTCAATTTCGACGAAGGATGTAGGCCGCCTTCCTGTGAGCTCGGGGACGCACGGATCCGGGTCAGCGCAACCCCGAGTCGGCCAGGGCCCCGTCGCGAGTCCAGGCGGGCCAGCAGCGCCCAAACGTGGGTCCACGGAGGGCGGGGGAGCGGGATCGGCTCCAGGTGGCTCCCAAACCGGGGGCAGGCAGAGGATCTCGGAGGGGATTGGCTGACCCCCGTTAGCGCTGCCCCCGCTACGTGAGCCCCGATAAACGCCTCCCTCGCCGCCCTGGCGGCTCCTCGCTGCGCACCTCCACCGCGGGTGAGATGAGGGAGGAGGGAGGGAGGAGGCATGGACAGGGGCCTCCTAGATGGGGACCGAGTAGATGGGGCGGGGTGATCGCGCCGCATCGCCAATGCATCGCCGATGCATCGGCGCTGCCTCGTCGACATCGCCGGTGCATCGGCGACGTCGGCGTGGAGAAAATCGGGCCTCACCTCGAGCCGCACCCTCGATGCATCGGCGATGCGGCGCGGTCCACCGACCCAATCTGCTCCGACCCCATCTGGGACACCTAGAGTGCAGGAGGAAGGATAGAAGAGGGAAAAACGCCAGAAACATTAACTTTTGGCGCTCCGCGCGGGCTTCTTGTGATTATCGGCGCCCCCCGCCCTGGCGCGCGGAGGGCGCCAGGAGCGGCGCCGGAGGCGCGGCGGGCGGGGGGCGAAGCGCGGATCCAAGAAATCCGCGCGGAGAGCCAAAAATT